ACAAAGTAGGGTTAGATTTAACAATAAATATAGTATGAAATTAAAATACTAACATTAAAAACATAACTCTGGTTTGTCCATGATACAATTTTGGTAATTACTTTAGTAAATATTGGGGGTGAGATCTTACATTATCTGTGAGATATTTAAAAATTTATCTGCGCTTATCTAATACTCGTTTTCCATTTTCCAAAATAAATTATTTTGTCTTGGGAGAACACAAAAATGTTAGTGTAGTCTTTTGAGAACTTTACTACCTCAATGGCCATCTGTTGTTTGTTAAATCTGAATGTGGGCTATGAATCTCAACATATCTGATTCGAATTCGCAGAGAGCCCTCAAGCATAGCTCTCTTCAGCGCTTTCTAACACTCGTATCTATAGTCTAGAGGATTATTTTAATTGGTAATTCACTTTATTACTATTTAGTCTTGCTAGCATTCATCACCAGCCTACATCATGACAGCATTTTGTTAGAGCATTCAAATCAGCTGTAAAAGATCACAGGTCGTGTGTGAATGTTCACCACAAATTAAAAGACAGGAATTATCTACAGCCACTCATATTATTGCCGAATGTTAGAAAGTGTAAGGGTCCGAGTACCGAACATTCGTCATTGGTATGATATCACTGTAGCTATTGTCGATTTTGACCGAAAAAGTTTTGATAAATAACTTTCGCACTAGTTCAGTAGAGGTCCACGTACTCCACAATTATCAAGCTTGTTTATCAGTTGATAATGCGTCAAGATGTCAAAGGCACGCGAATAATCTATAAAGAAATCAGAACATGTTTTCTTTTTTTTAATCTGATATCGCAATTTACCTCATCTATGGTTTTAGATAAAAGACTTGCTGTGCTCTTATATAATAAACGAGAATCTGAATAAAATAAAACCTGTCATTAGCTAATTATAATAGTGTTATAACTTTTGAAAGTTCTTACTTTTTTATTTAAATTCTGTTTTTTTTTGGTAAAAATATTAGTTTAAATTATGACATTTTTCTCAATTAATTACTTCGCTCGACTATAGATACGGATGTAAATGTTTCAGGACCGCAGTTAATGAATGTATTTAAATAACGTGTAATAAAGTATTTTAAAATTATTGGGGTAAAATAACCTCAATTTTTATCAATCAAGTCAAATTTATAAAATTAAACACAAGACAAATTTTGAAATAAATGTCGCCATAACGATCAGTCTCAAAATGAAATAGTGTCATAAATCTCCCTTTACGCAAAATATATAGTAGTTTTCTATGGTTTCTAATTGTTTTTCATTTTTTTATTTTATATTGAAATTTAAAAAAGACACCTGTACCTAATATAAATTGCCAATAGTATTTTGATTGTTTTTGCTGATTGAAACAGTTTTCTCGCAATTGCGAACTTTCTTTTCATCAAAGTTGAATTCACTTTAAAGTTATACTTAAGTTTGCAAAAGCAATAAAGTATGTCGGCTATTTTAAAGAGATAACCGGTGGCAATTAGTTCAAAATATTTCCATAATCATCTTGTTACAAGAGTATTCCTTTTGGAATCAATTTTGATTTCCATTTTCAGTCTATTACGGTTTAAAATTAATTGGTAAAAATTTACAGTTTTGTGTAATCTGATGTGCTGTTGAATCTACATAACTTTACGCTCAAAGTAAATATCGCTGACCTCTTTTCTTGAAACTTCGCTTGAATATAATAGACTATTGTCTCATTAGTGATTTATCTTTGAACGCGTCTACCAGAATTAAGTAATATCTTTGAACAGAAACACAATAGCTTTTTAAGATTCTTAAAAAACTATTATTGAAGTGCTCCATTTATAAGTGACTTCAGTAGAATTATTTGTTTTAGAGCACGAAAGTTCTTTTTGTGTTTCTTTTAAATTTCAGTAAACGCCAATAAAGAAAATTAATCCGTTTATACCTCCTCGAAATCAGTGTGGTCATAATTTTTATTAGAAAACAATGCATGTAATTATTCCATATATCTTTCCAATCTCGATCAAAATTTACTGATTAAAATTATTCGATATCATTTTGGCTACAACCCGATTAATAAATTAAATCTGAATACAACAGTTTACACGGGTTATAATGCACTGGAATTCGCGACACTCAGTAAGTATTCTAAACAGATCAAATAAAAACTAACATTCCAATTATAAAATATATCAGAAATCCGGAATTATCGGAATTTAAGTCGCGTTTTTTTTTTCTTTTTAATAAAGCATCACGGAGCCGTGGCATTGGCACCAATTCTAATGCATTTAACAGGAAAATTTTTGGGCTGGTTTTTTCGTAATTTATATTTATTATTAATCGATTTATTTTGATGACGACTTTTAGGGCATACGACTTACTTATCATCGTGACTAACCTATTAATGTTCCTGCTGCTGAGGATCAGGATGGTATTCAATCAAATAAAATAGGAAGAATGTACGATGACCCACAACTCAGTGTGGATTGGCGTGTGTCAACGACTGCAGATGCTGCTGGGTCTTTGTGAGTTTCGGCTGACTTTAATGGCTTAACGTGCCTTCCGAAGCGCGGAGGTGCTCGAGATAATACATTTTTAGTCACAAACCCTAATCCAGCCGTTGAGAAAGTTGCACGTTGACCGCGCTAGCCATAGCACCATCGAGGTAATCTTCCTTCTCTATAATCATAAAGATTTTGATTTATATAATCAATTGCTAAATAAAATATTGGAATTATATTGGAAACTGGCTGTACTATACTACTGTAAAGAGTTTCGTTTATTTTATTTTCTTTGTGTAGAAACAAAAAAAAATCGGAATTCGGAATAATTTCATTTGTCAGGTACAGTCAGTTTATTTCAAATACCGATATTTTTTTGTTTCTACATAAAAAAAGTTTAATAAACGAAACTCATTCGTACATTTTGTAATTAACAAATACGTTAATGAAAATAACAACATTAGATACACATAGCTATTAATACCACCTTCGTTAGTTACGCAACATTAAACTGCTGATAAAAAAAATTAAGAACAGTTTAATTTTTGGTAAAAAATCAATTACGTTTAATATTGTGATGGTTATAATTTCAATAGTCCATTTATAATGGTTACACTCCGCATGTGGAGTGTGAGCTTTTTCGGTGGGCTCACTTCATTGGTGGACCAGGCAGTTAAACAATGTAAATCAAATCATCATCAGTCTATCAATATCCCCACTGAGGGACAGTGGCTGGGATATAGGTTTTCCCTGTGGAAGGAAGCTATTCGAATCGATCAAGGATAACAGGTTACAGGTTATTTGGTAAAGTCGCTAATCCACACTCAATTTATAGGTCCAAATTGAAAATAATCAGATTGCTTATCAAACAAACATGGATAGTAAAACTCTTTATTGCACACATAATAATAACAATTTACAATATATTGGCATTTTCTGGTTAAAGTGGACTAAGCGCTAAAAGCGATCTTTTTCAGACAACCTCAAACATATTGCTGAGCTTTTGACCCTTAAAGCCTGGTAAGAATTTGCCATGAGGACCTACCGCCTAATATGTCACCAATATATTTATAAACTAGTAACACTACAAATTTTGGTCACCCATCCCATGAGTAACCATTGCGAAAGGTGCTTAACTTCTGCAATCGCAGACACATCGAAATTTACACTTGAATTATGTTCAAAAATAATGTGTACCCAATTACTTATTATGGATGTCGGTGGCTGATTTTGTCACACGGATCTAATACAAATACAGATTTGGTAATAAAAACATTGTTTACATCCGACCCGATGAATCACCTGTAAATCCCATGAACACATTCCATTGCGGCGTCTTTAATAAGGGCGATAACACACAGTTGTCTGTTTCCACTTATATTATTTAAATTCAATTCAATTATTTTGAATAATTAATTGCCACATTAATATTCGAGACGTTAATATATTTAATCATTAAAATTTGTATGTTACACTTTTTATGTCATTTTAATAATATAACAGACTATGATTAAACGATAGTGTTAATTATTTAAATACTTATAAATATGTATAGGTTTTGGCTTTAAAGTTATAAATATATCAATATGTCTCTTATTTGTTTATTCTTCTTATTGCGAGATATTTTATATTTAAAAGAAAATCCTTTAAAATCTTAAAATAATTCAACTCCTGTAGTTACTAAGTGTACCTCAATGCGTACAAGGTTTCATTGTAATTTATAGTTCTTTATTTTATTTTTATTTTATTTATTTTATTTTCAATATCTTAGGAAAACTTACAGCTAGGTAATACTATACATAGTTTTTATTATATCTATAAAGAAGGCCAATTACAAGTTTCCACTTATAGGATATGCATATTTAGTAGTTGTATGTCCATTTTTACTAAACTTAGGAGTCGCCCAAATCTGTCGCCTAAATATTTAGGAATCGCCTAAGGTAAAAAAGCATTTCATCATCGACTAGGAACCACCTTACGAAATTAGGCAATGTCTAAAGTTATGATATTCGTTATGCAGCGCCTTGCGTTAGGCATTTGCGTATAGGACAGGCCATAAATATATCAAGGGATAAAAAAAATATATATTTGAAATTAAACTAATCTGCCTAGGCGTTTTGTAATATTAGGATTTTCCTAGTTAAGCTATGCCTTGTTCTAGGTTAGTGAAAATGGATGTTAGTAACGTTAAATACAAGACTAATTTATAATCCTATTTTAGATTTCTCCGTTTTAGTTGTGTGATTAGAATTTCATTACTATAATTTTTAATCTTAAGAATAGTATATTATATAATAGTTTCACTGTATGCTAATAACGAAATAATAATTTGAAATTCGAATCGTGAAATGATGTAACAAAAAAAATAATCCATTAAAAAAGAGTCTCGTGTCTGCGGGCAGCCTGTTTTCAATAAAAACAACAGCTCGAGGCGACTGTGGCCAGTTTCATATTTGTAAGCTCCAAGTGATTTTCTCGGACGCATAATCGATAAACAAATTAATATCAAAAATAAAAAAAAATGGTTTCTAGGACTCTAATTCTGTTGGCTGTTGTTGGATATTGTAGTGCTGCTACCTGGTTAGGAAAACTACCTCCGAAGCCTTTGAACTTAGGTGAGTGATATAATTTGTATTTACACTTTTCATGTCAAGGTTTAATGTATTTATTTTTTTTAAACTTGGTTTTTAATGAGTTTATATAGATTAATATTTTAACATCGAAACATGAGTCTCTAGATCCTTTTTATGTTTATGTAAAAAAGAGCTAAATGGTGGGAATATTTACAAATATTTTTAGGTATTTCCACATCATTACTGTCTGTATATTTTAGGATTGCATTTATTTTGGAAAACACATAACTGATATTTTAGCTGTACTAGAACTTTAAATATTTTTCTACAATACCTAGCTATATAATGGAGTTTTATGAATCATCCTTAAGTGAAACATCGGTACAATCTGAATGAAAACTGTTAAAAATAATTCAAAATGTAGTGTTTCAATTATCTTTCGAATAATTCGTGTATATTAAAACATTTCATACTCTAATCAAAAATAGGTGGAATCAATTTAAATCGAAATAATATGTAGATATTGTAGCTGAAAGAAATCATCAGAGTAAAGCATAGTATATCATCAGAACCTAATTTACCTACTTACTATATGACGACGATAATAAATTACTTAATATCCGGAACTATCAAATTTCGCTAGGATTTCGTATATTTATTTTCTTGTTGTTTACAACGTCAGACTGGTCGTACGAATTGACGTAAACAAATTCCTCGCGACCATCCAAATAAAAGCAATGAATTAATAAAATGCAAATGAAAGTTTACGGCTCCCCGTATAAATTAGAATCTAATAATTCTTATCATTTAACACGTGCGTTACATTGAAATTGATTTAATTATAAACGATTCATTTATATGCGTAGACACGTTTTTTCCTCTTTCATTCTTGTTTCATTTCGCAGCTTAATTTGCACGATATAAATTTGGAATTTCACTGATTAAATCAAAATGTTTGTATATTTATGTTCCCAAAAATCCGTCGGTGTATCCACTACAAATTTTTACTTAATAATTTATACGAGATTTAATTATATATTTTTAAGTTTTTATCCTAAAGTTTTCACGAATATTTGTCAGAAACCAAATTGAGTTTATATTATTTTAATTAAAATTAGGTATTCAAAAGAAAATATCGTGTAGTAGGTAAATGATGGAAAAAGCCTCAATTTTGACTAATATTGACTAATATTTTTGAAGTACCTATTATCTTTTTACGAAACATAACATTTTTTGTGTTCGCCCATAAGTTTTCGATATTTTAACTATGTTAAAATTATATTATATTAAAAATATATACTTAAAATTATATTATACCTACCATGTATGTGATTGAAGACGATTAGAAAGTATGTAGTTGTATTATATAATACAGTATACAGCATATTAGGTTATTCATATCAGTATTTTTTACCTCTATTTTAAGCCTTAATGCATTGACGGTACAGACGAAATATCGAGCTCAATGGCGCAGTGGCTAGCGCGCTCTGTCTGCGATGCGGTTGTAAAATAACTTTCGCAATGACTTGTCATAGGATGGGTGACCAAAATTTATTATCTCAAACTCCTCCGTGCTTCAGATGAGACGTTTAGCCGTTGGTCATGGCTGCATCTGCAGTCGTTATCAACCCACTGGGCCCGCGTGGACGGACATGACCCTTTCTCCATATTCGATTCGATTAAATTACATCCATATGGAAGCCCTGAGCCCCAGCAGTAGCTGCATTAATTTATCATTAATTTTGTCTATCTGATGATAGACAAAATCATCCGGAAGATAAATTGTAGCAACTGACGTGTTGCTCTGTTATAAACTATTCTTGGTATTCAACAATGTTCTTCGAATATTGAAAAACATATTAAACTTTTGATTTACATAAACCAAACAGGATGTTTACATATTATCTTTATGAAAAATCAAATGAAACATTTGGGATTCAAGTTGTTTCAGAGTTCATTTAAGTTTATTACTTACTTATTGATACAAAATAGTAAGCAGTAATAGTAAGGTAAACAAATAATAAAGAGCTAGAAGTCGAATGAACAAGCAGCTTCAATATATTCTTTGTAAATATTACGATTAACTACACTATATTGAACTTAATTGACTGATTTAGCACTCTAAGATATTATAAAATAAAATTCATTTAATGCGAGCTTGAAATCATATAAGTAGGAAACTACTTAGAGTTGAATCTTATTGGACAAAATAATGGTGACGTCAGTACCATTACCGTGACTACTTTTGACGTTTGTAAGACGTCTAAACCGGCCGCCGAAGCGGATTCCAGGCGAGACTAGTTTGCCATATGTCGTTGGCATTGTAGTTGGTGACTGCATTAAGATAGTAGTGATTCACACACTATATGGGAAGAAGGAGGGGTTTGACTGCAATGTGGAGATTAAGAACTTTTGCAAGGGTCGGTTGGTAAACAAGTGGTTGCTTATGGTTCGTTCTACTTCTTTGATTTCATTGACGGGGAAGGCCCAGGCCCTAGCAGTTGGGAAATTTTAAGGTAATTACCATATAATTTTTGGAGATACCCCAGTATTTGGGAAAGTGGCAATGGCAAATGGGCGTAGTCAACAAGCAAGCTAAGTGAGGTAGACTAAGGTACAATATAATACATTTTTATATGAGCGATCTTATTTGATTCGCTATTGTAGTATCTCAATGAGTATGCAAATTATGTATTACAAGCAGAAAAAATAATATTGAAAAACAATACAATTGAAACCTGACATTGAGCTCTTCGTAGACGAGCTGTTAATTTAAAATCCCCGCGCATGACTTGACAATTCTAAGCAAAAGTGAATCAGTATTGTTTCCAGACTCATTTAAATTCGAAATTCCTTTAACTCAACCACCTCGATGTAATTATTTATTTTCTGATATATTTTTCTTCCCCGTGTATCATAATTGAGGAACGCTGTATACTGCCAAGCAACAATATGCGGGGTCAAGGCCCTCATTTGTAAACATACAAGAAGGTCACTTGAATTCTTTAAAAAAGAAGACAATTTTAAAAATCGAATTCGTATATTTTTATTTTATCGTAATCGCTTGCAATGTGACTTCTGTAATCAATCAACCTTGACCTCTTTAGCGTAAAACCTCTATACTCGTTCGTTTGTTTATATTTTTAAATCTATGGACTATGGGACGAATTCTCTCCGCTACGCGTATATAAACACAATAAGCTATTGTGCTACATTTGGTGTGGGTTTTACCAATAGATTATGTAATTCCTGGGAAAGGTTTAAAAGTAGCGTCATATGGGTAAAGTGTGGGCAGCGGATAAGTGAACGCATAGTTAATTATTACTGCTGATGACCTGGGGCTTATTTTAAAATCTATCGCAATCCTTTTTAATTTGACAATTTAAAGCTATTCACAAATTACACAACTATTTGAAATGTAATAGCTATTTTTTTCCAGTTAAGTTTTTTTTTAAAGATATCCCAAATTAAAGGCAGGCGTTACCGAAAACTTTTTTGAAAACTATTGAGAAAAAATCTTTCGATGACATTAGTTAAGTAAGCTTAGCTAAGTTTTAAATATGTTTCTTAAGCATTCAAATTTATTTTTTGTTCCAAAATAGACTGCTATTTAAATTGGGAGCAATTGATTTTGAAATTAGATAGTTGACCACTGACCCTTTTTAGGCCTTGTGGGTCTTCAAAGCGTTGTAACTAACCCAAACAGGAAAATATATTTTAACGTGAGCAGTCTTTAAAATATTGTGTTGTGGCAAAATTAATACCATTGAAGCCTGTGATATGTCAAAGTTAATAAAAAAAAAATCCTCTTTACTCTTGAAACGACCATAGCTGGGTTCTAATCCTAAATTGGCTAAAACCGGGTCTTCTAGGTACCTCCTTAATAATTTCACATTTCTATAAATTCTTTTTTCGTCTTCTGTTTTCCAGCAATTAAATTACCTATTTAAATTTATCATGTGCTTTATTTCACCGAAATTTTGGGTAAATTTCATGTTTCATGTAAATTACTCTCATCCAAAGCCGAGATGGGTCACTTGTCATATTGTCTTTGAGTACAAATGAAGCGAAGAGATAACCCAGTGAACTACGTATCAGTTCTCATCGTTTAAACTTTCCTTGTATTACAACAAACATTACAGAACCAAAATCATATAAATAGGCCAGCCGCTCTCGAGTTTTAACAAGACAAACTTTTTGCTTTCAAAGATTATATAAAAATTACATATATGAACAAATATATAAAAAGTAAAATAAACTTATAAGGTCGGCAATGTTACTTAGGACTGATTTTTATTAGACTATCAAAAGTTGGAATGAATTTACAAAATAAATGTTACTTCATAATGTAATCAAAACAATCTCTATTAATATCGTTTCTTCATGAAAACTTTAACATTATAAAATAATTAAGTTGTGTTATGTAAGCCCCATTACCGCTTATTTATAATCATAAATGTACATAACTTTTGACATCCAAATTACTATTGATCGAGTAACCTTCATAAACCTTTAGAAGTTATCTTAGAGGTCATTTCGCGTAATCCGTAATTGTTAATTTACATTTGTTGTTAAATCCTGCGTGATGGCTTATTTACGCTGATCGAAGGCGTCGATCGAAGGCGATCGATTTTCGATAAAATCGGAATCGGAATCCGTTTTCGAAGCTGTTTTCAACATAATGTAGTTAGAGCTGTGCGTCAATAAATTAGTCAGTCAAACAATTTTCATAATTTAAGCAACATAAAAATAGGAGAAGCTCGACGTCATAAGCGCGAAAGCGCGCTCGGTCTGCGATACCGTTGTTAAGCAACTTTCGCAATAGCTGGTCGTAGGATGGGTGACCAAAACTTTATTATATCGAGCTCCTTCGTGCTTCGGAAATCACTTTAAGCCATTTGTCCCGGCTGCATCTACACACTTTAATACCCACCAGCCCCATTTGGCGCTCCAAAGGCTCCCTGTTGTATTTGATTCGTTTCCATCTTTAGTGAAGGCCGAAGCTCCAGAAGTGGAGGCATTAATAGACTGGTGATGACAAA